CGTGCGCGTATTTCTAAGTGTGTGTGTGCCAGTGTGTGTGAGTGTGTGTGCCAGTGTGTGTGTGTGCATATTTATGCGTATTTGTTTGCATAGCTGATGATGTGCCAGCAACAATAACAACAACAACTTTACTTTATGCATGCGTGTGCGTCGCCCCTTTTGGCCAAAGTTGTTGCTGTTGCTGGCTCCGCAGGACTCTTGGCTGGCGATATCCTTGCGCGTGCAATTAGAGAACTTTCAGAGCGCAGCAGAGCTGCAACTTTGGGCTTGTAAATGCAGCTAGCGCTAAATTGTTTGTTAGCACGTGTGTGTGTATGTGTGAGTGTGTGTGAGTGTGTGTGTGTGTGAATGCGTGCTAAGTGCAAAGTTCTGCTGTTGTGTTTGCTACACTGCAGCGTTTTTATGTAAGGCATCATTTCGAGCAACAACAACAACAACAACAACAGCAGCAACAACAACAACAACTATTGCCAGCTACGTGACGTGAAATTTTTTAGCGCATGTTATGTGCAGGTTTTTGTTGTTTTGTTGCTGTCGTTGTTTTGTTGCTGCCTTTTTGAAAACATTTCTTTATAATTTTTTTTTTTTGCAGCTTTCTTCGTTTTTATGCCCGTGCTCTTTGCTCTAAACCACCCCAACACAGCAGCAGCAGCGCCCGTTAAGGGATGTTTATGCACGCCAGGACTTTCGTACTTTAGTAAATGACTTGACTTGTTTGACTGCGTTGCCCGGCACCCAAGCCAAGGAGCCAAGCAGGACCAGGGCCAGGACCAGGCAGGCGCAACTTTTAGTTGGACTCAAAGTCAAAATACGGTAAGAAAAAATCCGAGAAAATTAAATTGATTTTTCTTCTTTTTTTTCGCTCTTAGCCAAAAGTTTTCTGAAGCGCGTGAAATGTATTGGAAAAATGTATTGCCAGCTAATTTCCTAGTTTAGCAAACACGTTACAGCGCTGATTGGAATTGAAAATGGAAATGCCCGGCAACTCTTTCGCTGGAAGAGATATTCGCGCTGGCAGAGCGCATCGAATTTATTGTTTCAATTATGTTTTCAATTTGCGCCGACAAACAAAAGCCGCGAAATGCAAAAAAAAAGGAAGAGGCTCTCAGCTATAAATAAAAATAAATAGGAAAAACAACACGAAATTTTCATCTTGCTGTCTTTTTTTTTTTGTTATTGTTGTAGCTGTTGTTTGTTTGTTGTCAGGTTCAGGCGCGGAATCGAATATGGCGTGAGTAACAGCCGCTGCCTCCAGTACCCCAGTTGCCCCGCCCCAATCCACGAAAGTTATTGAAAGTAAACATGAGAAAATATACTGCCGGAAAATACAAAAATTGTATTCTAAACTCAACGCGTAATGCATGCGAAATTGTCTCAAATATTATTTAAGAAAATTAAATTGAATTTACAACAGTGCGAGGGCTCACAGGAAAAGCAAAAATAAAGAAAACGCAATATGGAATATTAGGATATCCTATAGAAAGGGAGCTAAGCATTGTGGCATATACGTTTAGAAGTAGAGAATATCTGGTTGGGATTGTGCTTTGCATGGCAGATTATATTCCTACTATATATAAAGGGTAAGCACTAACAAAATCCATAATAATAGGCTGTGACTTCATGCATTTGCTTGATAGATAAATAAAGTTATTATCTAGAATTAAATTATAGGCGAGTCCATTTAATATATATTAACATTCAGCTAAAGGAAAGGTAGATAAATAAAGGCTGTAAGCCGGGCTAGCACTGAGCCGGTTCAAGCTAAAAGTTACAATATATATTAATAGTTTACATTTTCTAGTCTCAACCGAAAAGAGTTATTTATGTTTCTGCTAAATCTCCCTCTTAGACTCATAGTCCCTTATGCCCAAAGAGCATATATGTCACAGGGTATATAAACAAGAACGTAACAACGTCGCAAACGCAATGATAACATAAAATAATCAAAAATCGATTTCAAAGTGCGGCTTTGTTTTTGTAACAATATGCCAAAAATCTGCTGCTTGTTGTTGTTGTCAAAATGCAATCAAAAGATATGCCATGTTGTTGTTGTTGTTGTTGTTGTTTGTGCTGCTTGATAGGCACTTTGGGAGCAAACTTTTACTTCAGCTTTTTCATATTCGCTTGATTTTTCTTCTTTTTGTTTGGAAGGGGAAGGAGCTGCAACATTTTTGAAAATTGAAAATGTCGTTCTCTTATTTGTTTCCATTCAGATTCGGGCTGACTTGGCGCTTAAATGGATTTACGAAACACGAAACACCCCAAATTCGTGTGTGTGTGTGTGCGTGTGTGTTTTGCCTTATGGGCTTAATTTGAGCTCTTATTTAGTTTTGGCTGCAATTAGGCGCCCGCCACGTAACCTGTAACCTGCTGACCCTCTAAGCTAACAGCTGAAACACCCAACACTTGTGTCCACATGTGTGTGGCATTATTTAGCTATGTGCGCAACCCCTTTGCTGTTTAGCTGACAAACGCTTCGTTTCATTCGGTTGCTGGGGTGCCAGGTTGTTGCCGCAATGCCAGAGACCGAAGGGTCGCACTCTCAACGAATCGGTCAAGCTGAAAAATGTGCTGCAATTGCACCTTGCACACACACACACACACACAAACATGCGCACACACACATTGGGAGAAAACCAACAAGTACAAATGAGATGCTTGCAACTGTTCGACCCGAAAGATGCTACGCACTGTTTCTGTTACCAAAATTGTTTGTGAAAAATGTCGGGCATAAAACACAAACTCATTTGAGTTAAAATTCAATTTCAATACTTTTGCAAATATTTTGTAATAAGCGCCATTTAGAATTGTATTACAAATCCTTTTTCCTACTTCTTGGAACAATCGATTCTGGGAATGTAATTCGTATGCAAAAAGATCTTGAAGAGATGATATTTATGATAGGAGCTGTTTGTCATCGGAAGCTTTCACTGTATATTCGCTGTCTATTCGTTATGTTATAAGATCTGTTCGTCATAGGGAACTTTTACTGTATTTTCGCTGCTTCTGTGGCCTGTTACATGTCCAATTATTGAAGTAGATATGCAATGTGCTTGTCGCTCTTGTTTTGCAGGGTATTTAAGCCAGTTGCCCTGACCGTTTCGGCCATGCATCGTTGATATTTAAATTGAGCCAACGGACAGTAAAATGCGCCGCTTGCAGGGCGAGGTTCATTTCAAAAATAGAAATGTAAAAAGGGTTAAATGTGCTAATATGTGTATGTTTCTCTGTGTGTGTGTGTGTGTGTGTTTCTGTATCCTGTATCCTTGAAATGCAACGCATGGTCGCAAGCGGAAAAATATATTCGCTCTTTTTCGTGTCAGTCCGATTATCTATCTCTCTCTCTCTCTCTCGCTCTCTCTCTCTCTCTCTCTCTCTCTCGCTGTTTGCTGTCTCATTCTTGGTTGCCCCAGCAATTAGCGGGCGTATTTGCTATTTTTGGCTCTGAGCTGTCACTTGCTATTGTTTTTGTCGTTGTTGTTGTTGTTGTTGTTTATTAATAAACAATAACCCGAATGCTTAATTGCATATCTATTTACTGCCAGCTGCTGCTTGTTAACCTCGTTTGCAGCAGTTAAACTGCACCCTTTAAACTGCAACCCACCCAACCCTTGGCCTTCATTATCGTGCTCCTCTACCTTCCATTTTTTTTTGTCTCTGGCTTTCCTTGCAGCTTGTCTCATTAAAATGAGCAAATGCGAAAATCATTTGCACTGCAATTTTTAACGCCAAGTGAAAATGCAGTGGCGCATTTTCTGCTCGTTAGTGTGCGTGCACGCGCACTTCTGTATGTGTGTGAGAGAGAGAGTAGACAATGCGGTACTTTTGTCCTTTAACTAGTTACAAGGATAAGGCATGAGGCGTCTTGGCCACTGGGCTTAGCCTTGTGTTGGCCGAGGTTTGCCGTTTGCCATGCAAATTCTCCATTAAGTATACGCAGCGTTGCGTCGCTTGCACAATTATGTAACATTCATTTGCATTTAGTGCTCTGCTGCCGCGCTGTTGTCGCATTCAATGTGCGCTTAACAAGGATGTGAAAATTTATTTATTAAAATTTAACAACGCATTATAATCAGCGCAGATTTATATAAATGTGCCTGGGCACACATGTGCTTGCATATACACACAGTTTCGACTAGTCGAATGAATGATTGTCATCAACAACCACCAGCAGCAGCAGAAGCAGCAGCAGCAGCAGCCCATCAACAACCATCGTGTACATATGCAGCCGTCGAGGCAACGGCAGCAAATCATTTTCATGAATACAACAACAACAACAGCAACAAAGGCAACTACAACCCAAAAGCATTCAATTGCACAGACAGACAGACAACACACACACACACAGACTCCAGCATATAGGCATAGAATTGCACCAACACACACATAATCGTTTTATTATTTAATTTATGCGCTTGATAAAAAAAAAAAAACAATGTGCTGGTAAAAAACCAAATGAGAGACAGAGAGAATCTGCCACACAAAGCGAAGAGCACATAGATAGACAGCAGCTTCAACAGATACATAGATACATTTGCCGAAAACAATGAGAAACTAAAAAAGAGTTATTTGCATAATATTTTATAGGGGTACATTCGGGCACTCAGCGCACGCCTCAGACATTATGCTCAAGGTCAAATAGCTCAAGAAATTATATAAAAATCTTACACACATTCTGTGATCCGAAAACTGTGATGATAGCCAAGCTATTCCTAAGCTAAAGCCCCTGATAAAAATGAATTAGCTATAATTCGTTTATACACAAATCGAAGCATAAGCTTGATAAGACCTCAAGCCACACAATTCATATTACTATGCCTTGCATGTCTATAAAACTTCACGAACTTCTTGGAATCGTTTACTATCTTATCTTGTTAATTGTGTTATCTAATGGCTGATTGTGTTAAGTAAATTTAAATGTGTTTAGTTATGTTTATAAATGAAATGCAAATAAATGTGTTAAATAATATACAAACATGGTATCAAATGTGAATACATACGGGTTTGGCTTTGGGTTCCTGCAATTAAATAAAAAAAATGTATGTAAATCATGTGTGCACGGCATAAAATTATAAAAAATGCAATTTGTAATTAAAATTAAGAGCAATTGAAAGAACACCTGCCTATTTATGCAGAGAGAAAAAAAAATCTGAATTAATGCACACTCGAAAAAGCTTTTTATAACATGTGCATTAATATAAATAAAACCCTCTAATTGGCTGTCATGACAGCAGCAACCTATACTCGAGTGTGCAGAGCCATTCGCAATGATTCGAATTAAATGAGCCAACTAAAAATAATATAATCCAAACAGAAAATAACAAAAAAGGACCATATACCATAGAGGACCAATGACAGGCATTTATGAAATAGAGTTTTAATTTGAAAACACAGAGCCAGAGAGATGGATAAATTCATATATATATATATATATATAAATGAATATAAATACATATGTGTGTGTAAAGAGCATATCTCTCATATATGGTAAACTGTGGACTTTAGTTGGACATAAGCTGCTTAAAAGTTGCACTCCTCCTCCCCCCCACAAATAGTTTTGTCTATCGTATATGTTAATATCTTGATGTACATGGGATATTTACTTATAAGCGTGCGTGCATTAAATATGAATATATCAGAGTGAGCACGGAGCAAAGTAAGTGCAGCAGAAATACGGCACGTTTGTTGTAAATCCTAGAGAACAGGACAAAGCAGTCGCAGCCGGAGCTCAGGCTGAGGCTCAGCAAAGAAAAACAGGAAAAATAAAAGGAACAATGCGAGCAGATGTGCAGGCAACCGAGAAACAAATGCAGATGTTTGCCTCTATCTGTGTACGTGTGTGTGTGTGTGTATTCGACAGATGAATATGCATTTGGAGCAGCGCAAAGGAAATAAAACAAAAATTCAATCGGATTTGTGGCACACACAAAGCCTGCAACTGGACGCAGCGGCTCGTGAGCTTGTCTTTCCATTTGGTGCAATGAACTCTCTATCTCTGCCTCGAGGAGCATGTGTGTGTGTGAGATCTTGTGTGTGTGCATCTGTAGACGTGTGTATTGTAGAAACAAATTGACTGATTGAAGCAATATTGTGCGACTGAAGAGCACCTGGCCATAAGCGTCAATTATAGCTGCAAAAATTGCTGAAAACTGCCAGAAATTTGCAAAAATGAAATAGCAAAACTCTGATAAAAACGTATCTACACAAAAAGAGAGAGTGGGTGAGGGAGTGTGGGATAAGTTACGGTTGAGGGGCAGAGAGAGAGGTGCTCTTGCAACTGGATATGCATGGAGCGAGACAAGAGCAAGCACAAGACCACGACATAATATCAGATTGCACAACACAGATACTAATACAAATTCACACACGAGCACATCCATGATAATGAAGCTCAAAAACGAAGCTCATCATCAACAACAACATTTGCTCAAGTATCAAGTGTGTCGGTCTCTGCGCGTGTGTGTGTACGTTATCCTGTTTTCCAGGAGTTGTGCAAAGCCAACGTGCCAATATGCGAGCTGTGCCTGCGAGTGGATGTGTGCCAGAGGCCTGAGGCAGCAATGAGGACGAGGACGAGGACGAGTCCTGGTGCTGGGAGTATGTCACGAACGGAGTGTGCTCAAGTAGGAGCATTGCACTCCCCGTGGTTGCACGTGTTTGTTGCTGTTGTTGTTGCTGTTGCTGTTGCTGAATATGTGGCGCGTACTTAGTGCGAGATACTTTCATGGCTCGCATGCATTTTGTAAACGCACGCATTTGGTATGCATGAAGTGAAACCTTTAAGCTGTTCGGGCTGGCTAAGAGTTAGGGTTAGTTTAGTGGAGTGCATTTAGTTTGATGAAGTTGCCAACTGCCGCAGCAGACGGGGGCCACAGCGGGCGGCCACAAAAGTGAAATTGAAAGAGTCTTAGGCAAGGACAATGCGAAAAAGTCCACCAGCCGCACCCAAGGCACCACGAACTCAATCACCCAAACCAAAGCTCCTCAAAGGTTGCGCGTTCCGTTGCCGCCTTTTGGGGGAGTTGCTTTTGGCGACTTTCTTTAGACCAGACGCCTTTTAATTTTTGCTTTCCGTTTTTTTTTTTGGTTGTTGTTGTTGTTGATTTGCCTTATTTGCCAGTCGTTTGACGACCAAAAAAAAAAGAATAGGAAGAACACAAAATGCGAAATGAAAGCGTTTTAATGAGAAAATTCCTAAGAAAACTGCATATTTAAGGCTAGCAAAGGAACACGCCAAAAGGAACTGCGACAGGAAGCATCCCTCAATTCAAATAGCCAAGTTAATGACTTGTGCTTCAGGCATTTTATTTTTTATTTATCTTTTTTTTTTTTTCTCGGACCTGATTTGTGAAAGTAAAAAACAGACAACGAGCTCCATTCGAGGGCCCGCTTGGAGTGTGACCAGCTGCCCGTTCGTCCAGAAACCGAAAACCGAAACTGAAAAACTCGCCAAACTGACAGCAAAGGGCGCATATCGAATTACAAGAGCTGCACAGATACCGCAGCAATAAGTCAAAAGTGCATTGATCCGCATTCGATTCAACAACAACAACAAGCAACAAACAACAACAACAATCGATATGTAATCACAACAATATGCCGAAAATATGGCCAACCAGCTGTAGCCAGCGATGGGAACAGAACATCCGCGAAACAAAAGAAACAAGACGACAATATTATTAATATTATTATAAATATGTCTGTGTACATATCAACACTGTGAAACAACAATTTGGAGACCAGCAACGTACACTGCACAACACACAAGGTGTTTAGGTAGCTTGTAAAGCTTTAATCTTATGTAAGAGTTGCTTATGTTGTAGAATAATGTAGCTCAAAGGAGCGAATAGCCTTGTAGAACAGGAACGAAAACATGTGTTTAATCAAAAGCTTCACTTAATTGCTAAATTGAATACCCAAACACTGTACAACATGATAAAACTTTGAGTTGCATAAAGATTATTTGCTCGATTTAAGAACCAAATGCTTAAGAATTCATTTAAAATATAAAAGTATTTAGCGCAATGCGCTCTGCTCGCAAGGCCTCGATTATTTTCCCAGAGAAGATTTCTGTTAGTTGATATGTGCGCAAATATAAACAATAATTAAAGTTTTGTTGTGCAGTGTCTTGCGTATTGTTTTTGCAGTCGCCTCCCAAGCGGCGGCCGACGCATGGGACATGCGTAGCGGGGCGCGTGTGGTGGACAGCAGCAATAATAATGATGATGATAAAGCAGAGGAAGATATAAAATAAAGCGTCAATTGTGTGGCAAGCGCGGAAGGAAGAGCTGCCAACAACCATGGCTGCTCGTCTACAACTTATGCGTGTGTATGTGTGTGCGTGTGTGTGTGTGTGTGAGAGAGAGTATATATTGACATGTCAACTGATGGCGCAGCGACTGCAAAATTTACAACTTTATCTATGTGTGTCGTCATTGGGAGCAGAAGCAGGGGCAGGGGCAGTGACAGGAACAGGGAGAGGGGCCGGCAAGAGATAGCGGACAGCTTCGTCTCTTTGCGTGCCATTTTCTTGTTTGACAACCTTTTGTGACGCTTGGCGCAGGCGCAGGCGCAGCGCTGTCCGCGTTCTCCTGTCAACCTCCTTCTTAATTGTGTGACCAGTCTCGCGCGCTGTCTCCGCTGCTCTCCTAACTATCTTGTCTGCTATCTCGCTCTCGCGCATGCCGGCTGCTTCGATGTGCTCGTTTCTTTTTCGGTTTCCTGTTTGCTGCCGCTGCAAGCAGCGCTGCGCGCTTTGCTGTTGCTTTCGCTGCCGGCGTTGATCGTGGCAGCGAGACAAAACGTTGCGCTCAGTTGCTTATTTATTTATGTCTGTCGCTCCCTCTGACTCTGTACGTGTGTGTGTCTGTGAGTATCTGTGTGTGAGCAGCGTTTGTATATGTATGTTGTGAACATCTGCTCCTGCAGGCGGCAGCGGCTGCGAACGACGTTTGCTTTTCTTTTGTTGTAGCTGTTGTTGTTAATGCTGTTGCTTTTGCTGTTGCTGTTGCTGTTGCCTCGTTTCGTTATTATCGTTTTTATTGTTGTTTTATTTCATGCGGCATATTCGCATTGCTGTTGTTGCTATTCTCACTTCTTGTCTGTTTCCACTTTTACGTTTGATTTTAAAACGTTCGAAACGCGTTCAAATGGAAGCGAGTCCGTCTGTGGACATGACCTTAATTATGGCTTCGGTAAATATAAGTTGTTAGAGCAGGAGAGATATATCATATAGAATTGCAAATCGATTTTAAAACCTTCGAATTTCTTCGTTGTGAAAAACAACAACATCGAATTTGTGGGTCCTTCCGTAGTCCTTTGAAACTCGCCTGCGCTCCGTGCTCGGCCAATGAACTTGTCAAGCAGCTCACATGAAGACATCGCATAACCACCACTTGAGATCCCAAAATGGATCCGGCTGGGCCCAGTCTCAGATGCAGATTCGTTTGCGTGTGTGCGTGTGTAACCTGATTTTCTTTAAGGATATGCGCCGCCTGCGGCTAGGCTCTTAAGTGATTTCGAAATGCAATGCAACCTGAATGGAAAATGAACGCAACTCAGTCTCAGCTGCCTGGGAAGCTGGCGAGCTTAAGGACACGCGAATGCTCTATATGCACTCAAGTGCACGTACGCAAGTACTTAAGCACACACACACGCACACACACACGCACACACACACACACACACACACAGATGTGCTTGTAGGTTACTAGTTAATCGTCGGCCCTGGCACAGGGCGCGGCGGAGGCGAAAGTGGAGGCGGAGACAGTTGAATGCATTTGGACGTTGAACAGAGAGGACAGAGGATGGGCGCATTAATTTGCACTGCCTGCGACTGGAACATCTGTTGTGCTGACATAAATCTTGAGTGACTGACCGCTGGAGCGCAAGACCGCGCGAACTCGCGTGGCCGCGAGCGACGAAGAGGAAACCAGTTTGCGCTGGACACCACCAGTGGCACAGTGGAACCACCACAAACAGTGGAACCACCACAAAACGGACCATAGCAAAAATATGTTTACTTTACCAAAATTATGAATTTCCAGCAGCAGTTATTTTCTTAGGTTCTATGCTTTCAGTTCGGTTAGCTCAACCCAATCGAAACCCTTTTTGACAAGTTATCCATGCTGGTAGATCTCTTCAGAACGGTTACTCGAGAAAATTAGTTATATTTTTCCACGTACAAAATGATTTCCTTTTCATGCCCACAGCTCAGACAGAAGTCACGTTCAGAAAACAAGCTCCTTTGCTGACTGATTACAGGGCTAAGATATTTTTGGGAATGTTGTCAAAGACAATCGAATATCTTAGATATGTTCAAGGTATGGTATCCCGAAAATTCTAGTATATGATATGTAACCTGATTGCGATATTATTATTATTATTCAAAAAATAGTTTCTAGAGCAGTTCTTCAAATAATAATTCCAAATCCTTAAATCTAAACACTTTTGATCTTGAAACCTGATGATATGATATGATCTGTGATTTTAACCACTGTGCCTGGTCCAGGCACCGTTGATCATGCCGTTGCCGTTGAGCAGATGCACAAGTGTGCGTCGATTTCATTGAGTAACTTTTTTGAATGGATGCTCGTAAGCCTCATCCGGGCCCAGGGCCTCAAACCAAAGACATAGCTTGAACCTGAGCCTGGGAATCGCGTAAAAACTAAATGGCTGAATGGCCGATTGGCCATGTCGAATACATGCATGAATGTGTGAATATGTGGACTTACCTTCTTCTCGGTGAGCTTCTCGCAGCGTCGCTGCTTGCAGATCTGATGGCTTTTGTCGTTGCGGCAGGGGGCGCATTCGCCGCAGTTATCCTTGCGCTGGCAGCCGACGCATTCGCCGCAGCGCTTCCTCTTCTTTTTCGACTGCAAAACAGAGGCGGAAGAAGAGAAGGAGTTGTTGGTGGAGTGGTGGTTGTTGGCATTGGGTTGGTATTGTTGGTGTTGGTGATAGGTCATGGTGGGTGGGTGTTCCTATTATTCGCAGCGTTTGCCAGTTATCGCCGGGACGCACCATTAAGCTGAACTTACCTGCTTGTCGCATCCATTGGCGTTCGCATCGCTGCTGTCGCCCATGCCGAGTGCGCTCAGCGGGCTCTTGAAGTTGGCCGTGCTGGAAACGGCATCCACCTGTCCGGGATTGCCGCCGCTGGGATCCACGTCCATGCCGCTGGCCTCACTCTCGGCGCTGGACTCGAGCGAATTGGGCCGCTGTTTCCGGCGCTCCTTCTTGCGCGCATCCAGCCGCGCTATGGGCGACTGCAGCAGCTTCTCCACCTTGAGGGGCGTCGTTGTTGTCGGCGTCGGCGTCAGCGGCTGCGTCGTGTGCGGCGTGTGGCTGCCGCTGCTGCTGGCGGCATGTGGATAGCTGTTGCTGTTGTTGCCATCGTACGATGTGGGCGTATGCATGCCCACAGCCACGCCCAGGCCGGGATGTGTGTGCCCATGTTGCTGCTGCTGCTGCAGCTGCAGCTGCTGCTGTTGCTGCTGCTGCTGCGACAGATGCGTGTTGCTGTTGCTGAGATCAAAGTCCTCCTTCTTGAGCAGCATGCTGCCCGTTAGCATGTCATAGTCGCCGCCAGCCGCGTCCCCCGGCTCCTTCTTGATCAACGGCGCAAAGCCCGGCGCCAGCGGCTGATACAGCTGCAGGTCGCCAAATGCGGCTGTAGCCGCCGGCATCAGAGGGTACGCGCCGGCTCCGGCTCCGGCCACCCGATGATGTGAATGCATGTGATGAAATGCATTCGGTGGCGGCGGTGGTGCGCCCAACGGAGTAAAGCTGCCCGAGGGCGGCGTTATGCTAGTCTGCATGCCTGGCAGCTGGGTCAGCGGCGAGCCCACGCTCATCATTCCGGGCGAACTGACCGAGATGCTGGCCGGCGACATGGCCACCGTTTGGAGCGAGCTCATCCCGGCCGTGCCACTGGCAGTGGTAGCTCCAGCAGCAGCGGCAGCGGCTGCTGCTGCTGCGGCGGCTGCTGTTATTGGCATGGGCATGGGCATGGGCGTGCCATCGGGCATCAGCTGATCGTTGTAGCCATGAAATTGACTTTGGAATGAGGGCAGCTTTGAGAAGGGCTCAAAGCCGCTCTTCGGCTGCGTCTGTGGCTGGTTCTGGGGCGGCACGCTGTCCTTGGATTCCATTTCCCAGGGACGTGTATAGCTGCCGTTCGAGTTTGAGTTTGAGTTCGAGTTGGCGTTGGCGTTGTTGCCGTTGGCGCCTACTGCTGCTGCGACGGCGGCGGCGGCGGCGGCAGCAGCAACGGCATTGTTGGCATCACTATGTCCTCCGAGGACGTGCTGATTATGGGCGTGGCCGAGGCCGTGGCCATTGTTGCCACTGGCAGCAGGACCATTAGCATTGCTGCTGCTGCTGCTGCTGCCCAAAGGTGTTGCAACATTTGTATTGTTGCTGTTGTTGTTGTCACTGTTGCTGCCGTTGGCGTTGCCGCTGTTGTTGTTATTGCTGCTGTTGTTGTTGCCGCTGCTGTTACTGTTGTTGCTATTGTTGGCTGGCGCGGCGGGTTGCTGTCGCGCATAGTAATCCCAATGCTGAGGATGTTGCTCCGCCTGCGACTGCTGCTGATAGTGTTGCTGATGTTGCTGCTGTAGATGTTGCTGCTGCTGCTGCTGCTGCTGCTGCTGATGCTGTTGGTGCTGTTGCTGGTAGTGATGATGATGGTAGGGCGTCGTATAGTGCTGACTGAGGCTGCTCAGCTGATTGAGATGCGTGTTGTGCAGATCGGCAGCTGCCGAGGCGACTGTTGCCGATATTGCTGGCAGGGTGTTGCTGCTGCTGGCGCTGCCGTTAGCTGCCGATGCCGGATCGACGGGGCCGCCTGTGCTGCTCTGTGCGATTATTGTAGACGCCATTTAAGTCCGCAGGCTCGCATGGCTGCGCAGCTCATATGCCACTGCGCTACGCGGGTTTGTGGTGGGAGGTGCGGTTATGATTGCAGAGTTCAAATATAGATATATGTATATATATTGTACACAAGCATATAAATAGTTTGTTTATGTTTATATTATTATTATTATTATTATTACTTTTTTTTTTGTACACGCTCACTGCTCTCTTGAGGTAGTTTTTCTTCGTTACGTTTTTACGAAATATTTGTGTTTTTTTTTTTTTTTTATTTGTATTTTGAACTTTGAACTCACGGGTTTTGCGTGTTTTGTGCTTTTTGTTGAGTTTAGTTTGTAAATTTGCTTTAAATATTAATTCTGGCTTAGAGTTTATATAAATATATGCTTATTTTGTTGCTTTTAGTTTTTATTTTTTTTTTTTGTTTTTTAATTTATAATTGGTTGTTGTAAAAGTGCTACTATTAAATTGTTATTAAAAATTTGTAAGTTGAAAATTCAAAATGTTTTGTACTTTTTTCGTGGTTGACGATGCTTTTTGTTGTTGTTGTTGTTGTAAACGGCAGCTATGCAAAAACTTGTATTTACTTTAATAATATTTGCTAATTGTTGCTTAAATTTGTTACTTTTACTTTTACTTTACTTTTACTTTTACTTTTGTTGTTGTTTTTCTTGTGCTGTGGTTGTGTGTCAGACTTCGACTTGTTAGAAAAATTTGTAAATTTGTAATTTGTAATTTGTAAATTTGTATTTTGTATGCGTTGTTTGTTTAATTACTTCATTATTAATTCATTTATATATACGTTTTTCTTTTGTTGTTGTTGAATATTTAGATTTTTGATATTTTGTGATATATATATTTTTTATATTTGATTTTTGTAAATTGATGCTTATGAATTTTGTACTCTTGTTGTTTTTGCTTTAAATTTGATTTGCTTTTCTTTGTTGTTGTTGTTTTTGTTGTTAATATGTTTATATATATAAAAAATAGTTGCAGCTTTATAGAATATGTTTTTCATATAGCGTTTAGCAATATAATATTACTTAATATGTTAGGCTTAATTTTAAAAATCTTTGTCTTCCGTTTGTTTGTTTGTTGGTTACCTTACAAATTAATTAAACATTATTCCGTTATGTTTTATATGTTAATAATAATATTAATATTCATTTAATGTAGTTGAATTTTATTTTTTTGTTTAATTTTAATGCATTTTTTGTGTTTTTTTTTTATTTTTTGGTTTAAATTCAAATTGAAATTTTGATTATGAGCCAAAATGAAATTTTACTTTCAATTTCATATGCCAAAATGCTTGTTGTTGGTTTCCTCAAATCCTTTGGTTAAAAATCTGTAATATAATAAAATAGAGAAGAATTCTTAATATGAATTTAATTTATAAAGAAGATATCAGAAGTCGATTACATTTGTTAATGCCTAGAAAAGTCAGTCAGATAGAAAAAGTTAACAGGAAAATGTAAATGCGCGCTGCAAATGTTATTAATCTTTCAGATTCTTAGTATGTAAAATGTAAAGTGACTCGCCAATAGTCCACAGCTCAGTTATGATGTCTATTGTTTAGTGACTACCATATTCGTGTAATGTTAAATGTACATGCTTACTATAACTATAAATGTAAACAGTTTACATAGTCTGTGTCCAATATTTTGCAGCTCTGTTATGTTGCCTATTTTCTACTGCGAGGCAAAATCATTTAAGTTAACAGCTAATCAAAATGTTAACTGCTTGTTTAGTTTCTAAGTACTGCAGTGATAAACCAAATGTTAAATCCCAGTTATGCTAGCCTAGACCTATTGCTGGCCAAGTAAAAATGGCTTTACAAGGAAACTGTATTTGGTTGCCACTTTTGCCAGTTCTTTTTTTGTTTTCGCTGCCATTATCGTTATTCTTCGGCCTTTTTTTTTGCTGCTGCTTCGGCTCGGCTCACTCACTTAAAACATCTACAAACTTCAACACATAATTATGGTCTTTGACTATATAATGAGCGTTGGCCAGGTCCAAGTCCGCGCTGGCAGGAAGCAGCAATGCCAGAAAAAAAGAACAGAAAAAAAAATGTAAAGGACACTCACTTCTGGCTTTTTATTGCCGTTGGTTGTTGTTGCTGCTGCTTGTAAGTTATGCTCCGGCTTTGTAAGAGCTGCCGCACACACACACATAAACACACACACAAATACACACAAACACACGCACACACACTTGCTGCGCTTTTCAGTTGCTGTCGCTGTTGTCATTTTCTTGCTTTTTTCGCCATTTTTGTATTTTTTTTTTTGCAGTTACTCGCATTTTTTTTTGCTGTTGTTCTGTTTGTCTCTTTTGTATTTTGTATTTTGTTCTCATAAAAAACGGCACAGGTGTACATTTTTTTGCGCGTCCTTTGCCGTTGCCTTTTGACTTTTTGCTTTTTGCCTGTTTGCAACCTGCTAACATTTCGTTGCGCTTCACAAAGTTCAATGGGCCTACCCTGTGTGTGTGTGTGCGTGTGTGTGTGCACTCTATAGGAAGTTGCTTGAGGTGTTGAAGTGCCTACGAACTTGCCCTTGACCAGATCTACTTTGGCTAAATGTAAGCAATATTCGACATGAAAACTTATATCTAAATATGTTTTGGGGTCTAAAAGGTAGAGAAGTATTTGAGCGAGAACGAGCGTAAAATATTAGTATTAGACCTAAGAATTTTTCACATCTTTCTGGAAGTGGTCTTAAGCCTCTATGGGAATATTACTCTTTCTAGTCTAGCATCTCTTGAAAAGTCCAAGAATTTACATAAATACCATCGGGGTTTCTAATTTACTGACACTAGCCGATTGGTTGGGAAACTTAAGACATCTTTCAATTTTTTGTGGCTGTCGGACATTGTTGCCGCGCAGAACAATTAAAGCCTGATTATGTTGTCGGTTACAATTTGCGTGCCGCAATTTCAGTGGCAACAACAACTCGCATTAGTCAGGCAATGGCCATCAAATAAAAAGCGCCTGCAACGAACGGTAAAAGGCCAATGGCCAGCAGAACCTGACGTCGAGTTAAGATCGGCGAACGTGCAAGGCAAGGAAACTGAAAGAGAGCGAGAAAATAACAAAAAAAAAAAAGGAAAAAAAAAATTGATGTTGCAGCTGCCACAATTTGCTGCACTTTCCGTTTTATGCGACTTCGTTTCGCGTTTCCACTTTGGCCGGCCCATCCTGCAGCAATTGCGTCTCGTATATTTACATTGTTTGCTCTGTCCTCCGTTTGCAGCGGTGCCAAAGGAGACGAAAGGGGCCGAAACGGACTGCAAGTTGCAAGTTGCAAGTCGAACGTTGCGCGTTGCAAGTTACGAGTCGCGAGTTACGAGTTACGAGTATTGCGGCGCAGCGATAAAGATCCCGATTTCCAAAATTAGGCCAATGCGAATGTGTTGCTGTGTGCGTGTGTGTGTGTGTGTGTGTGTGTTGCCAGCATGTGCAACTGCAACATGTGCACAATTAGCGCTTCCTCTTGCAGGCTGTGTTGTTGCCACAAGATGATAAATCAAGGCGTTTCATGTCAGGGCAACGGTCAACATTTTATAGATGTTTTTTTTATACATTTCTTTATTGTTGTTATTCAAATCGGAAATGTTCGAGCGACGGCTCCAACTTCAGCCCCAATTTCCGCTCTGTGACATAATGGATCAGAGAATTATGTATAAATCGACTAACTGTTCGAGTTTCTATATCTTATCTGCCAGACCTGATAAGCCAAAAAACCAGTTCAAATTTCTATCAAATTTGGCGGAGTATATTCTTGAGCTCGGGTATGTTGACGCCATATAGAGCCAAACAAATATAACATACGCAAGAGCATTAATGTCTGTGTGTATCAGTGTGTGTGTGAGAGTGTGTGAGGCTTACAAAAACGAAACCATGAACAATGCGCGCAATTCACTTCAATTTCTGGCTATGTATTGCTGTTGCTGCCGCACAGTTTGCAACATTTTGCAAATTTTTGAGCGAATTAAACACGCAGCACACATATGTACACATGTATACATATTTATATGTATATATATATATAAATGTATATATATATATAGCACGATATGATGTGAACATGCGAACAATGCGTCATTTGAAATATATGCAGAAGGGCAAAAATGGCAAACAGCAAACAAAAATAATATCAGACGAGAATGTAGGTGACTCTGAGCAACATTTTGGTGCATAAAGTAGGCTACACACACGCGCACACATAAGCACAAGTTGCATGTGCGGAATAGACCAAATGCTTTAAGTGAGCTCAGCCATGACGAGGGCGAGCCTAGGGTGAGGGTGACAGCGAGCCAAGCTGAGTTCAGTTGAGCAGGAAACTGACTGCAGTTGTTGTTCCTGTTGCCTTTGCTACCTGTGCGTAGCCAACTGACTTTCGCTTGTATTCGAGCTGTGCAACATAGCGGCAAGACAAGTGCAACACCAACTGCCAGTTGTCCATTCGCCTTGCTGCTCCTGGGCAACCAGTTGCCTGGGCTACATTCTACCTTCTCCTTTTGACTGGCAGCAGGCGCTGCTGTTGCCTGTTCGCTTGTCTGTCTATCCGACTGTCTGACTGTCCGACTGTCTGTCTATCAAGCTGACGCACTGCCAGCAGCATTTGCTTAAATAAAGTGCAGCTTCCAACTTAAGCTACAGCTTTGGCCCTGGCTACGGGTAGAGATCCTGCGAATGTTGCGCATACGCCCCATGTTGCCCCCATGGAATATTTTAATATGTTATCTGACGTTTGCCGCTTGTTTACAACTTTTGCTCATATAAAATGTGTTCAAAATTGTTTCCAGCAGCAGCCCGCACTAAAATATTTATTAAAATAATCTGTCCGAACAGCTGCGTAACACACACGCTTATAAAACAAAACAAGCGCCTTGCAACATAATTAAACAAACTTTTCAATATGCCAAGCTCTGAAGTAGGGTCTGCATTATTGCATTATGTTCATATTTTTCTATTGTTGCGCTTTTTTTATCAAGAGCATATTTTGCTTGGGGCTGCGCTTGCAATACTAGAAGCTCCTCACATGAATATGTTGCAGCATTATACAACTTGCGGACTTGAGAAGAATATTAAATTTCTTTAGATTTGCTCAATCAGTAGAAATGCAATTTTATAATTTATAATCTAATATGGCTTAATATTTACTGCATTTATATAATTATTACTCCATTATCTTTCATTGTTTTTTTTTCTGATAACAAAAATTGAAGCATTACATTAATTTATCAGAATTTAGACTAAACAAACTTGCTTCTAACCAAGGCAAATTGTTGTTGGGCCCGGTTAAATCAATTTCAAAAATATTATAAAACTAAGTTAGTCTCAATGCTTAGCTAAAAGCAAGACAGTC